CAGCTCATCTTTGCCGGGTTTGAAGATTCTGAACGAGACCCCTTCTGGGTGCCCTTTACGGAAGACGATCTCGAAGACCTGGGCGAGTTTGGTGACAAGGAGAACGTGGCCCAAGAGGTACATGGACGCGATCCGCAAGAAAAAGGGCCTCCTCGTCGAGGGCCGCAACGTGGCGACCGATGCGCAGAAGCAAAAGACGCTGAAGAGGTAGTGGAAATGCTCTTTCTATAGCCAGACTAAGGTAAAAAAAGGAATGCAAGGATATCCGTTTCAATACTGTAGTCATCAGTGTCACCATGCAAACGTGTGAAGTTCAACTGTCATCATTTGTCTCGCGGGTAGGTTCCGTGTCTATCGATGAGCCTCCCAAAGGCCCCGCGCACACTAGATTCCTCGCCCAAACGACGCCTCCCGTGTTTCCTGCCTCCGATCCCCCCCCCTCGCCATGCTAATAACCATCGGCCTGTGACGCCGCTGAGAAACCCCGAGAGAGGAAAGGGAAAAAAAACAAACAGGAATCAAGCAGAAGGAATATGCCCTCCTCTTTTTCTTTTCGTCCACGGGCAACACCAGTCGGCCTACCGGACAAAAAGGGAACATGATCAGACCAGTGCGACGCGGGAGGGGGGTGGGGAGGAAACAAGATCAGAAAAAGCCAGTGCCAAACCCTCCCATAGCATTCCACCGTCTAATGTCGCGCATCATGAGTTGGAGAGAGGCTTTTTTTTCGTCAGATGCAAGCGGGAGGGGCCAAGAAGGAAAAAAGCGAGCAGTCGAATCAAAAAGCAACAAGGGCCGTGATAAGGGAGGGGAAAAGCGCGTCCGAGGATGCGGGCAACCTTTTTCCGTCGTCATAACTCCGTAGAAGGCCGTAAGGCGTCTGCAGCTTTGGTGCAGTCGATATTCGAGTGAAGATCAAACTGCCAAGGGCAGACAGACATTCTTTCGCCCGAAATCCGATCCGCTCTGTTGGGGCGGACCAGCATTTAGCGAACGCTTTTGACAAAGCACATTTTGAGGGCAGGGGATTGAGAAGCCTCGCGTCGTAAGAGGGGTTGAGAAAAGTCATTTCGGGTATCGGGCCGGGGAAT